ATACCTGATTTTAGTTTTTTCTTCTATACCAATAGAAGGCAAAATTTCATTGGCAATATAATCACAAAAACTGTGAATGGTAATATCAAATTTATGTTGTTGTAAGTATGATGTTACTTTTAATTGAACATCTTCATTGTCAATAATACTTTTTCTAAGATATTTTTCACGATTACTATTAGAAACATCACCATATTCAATAAATGATTTAGTCCAACTTCTAACACAACGAGCAAACCATATTCCTTGATTTAATAGGTCTGCAACAATCTGACTTGCTTCTAACTTCACGTGCCTTTTGTTAAGGAGTTGTAAATAATGTTGAACGGCTATAAGTCGCAACTTATATCCTAGAGTTAAATGTTCACTTTCAAGTTTTAGTTTATTTTTAATTCTATTAATTAATGCATTTTTATTAGCATTATTGGATTTAGAATCACCATCAGAACCACTAGAAGAATCACTACTGAAGGAACCACCAGAAGAACCACCACTGGAGAAACCACCAGAAAAACCATCACCGGAGGAACCACTATCAAAATTATTATCAGAAGAACCACCACCAGTATTATTTTTATTATTTAATAGTTGATAGAGTGTTTGTCCATTTTTCTTTTGATTTTCTATTGCTTGGATTTTTTTTCGGTATTTTGTTGTTCGTGAGTTTCCTACATTTACTAATGGACGTTTGGAATGTTTTAATACTTTCATATTTTTAGTTAAAACTAAAAAAAGCTGTTCTGCCTCATCCTCATCAGTCTATCCAACTTCATCATCTATGTTAACTCCATCATCCGAACTTAAATTGTCATTGGAATAGGTATTGTCATTATTTTTCGCAGTTTGAAGTTCTCTTTTCTTTGCTATCTTTCGACACTGTTGAGTTCGTCATTTTAGGCACCCTATTAGTAAGAAAAAAAAAATAGATCAGTTGATCAACATACGCATGCAATCTAAACTATTTACATAAGTGACCTACATTAAGCATAATTCCGGCCGGAGTTATATGTTTCAAATCCGTTTCCGCTTAAGAAAATACCTAAACTTTATCAGTTAATAACTTTTGATTTAGATTTCTGATCAGAGTAATTTCAACGTCATTTTATAACACCAGTCAATATCAATTGAACTACGTTGAAATATTTTAAATATAGGCACTAAAAAAATTTTTATTTCATTTTTAAGTTTGATAAATTTATTGGATGGTTTATTGTGACACAAACTGTACTAATTTTATATGAATATCATATAAAAATAAATAAATCTTTTAATAAGAAAGCAAAACTTTTAAGAAATTATTTAGGTAACTTTTAAATTTTTATTTTTAATTTTAATATATAATAATGAAAATACTTAAATTTAATTTTATATTAATCAATATTAAAATAAAAAAAATGAGAATAAATCTATTATTAGTAATGAATCCAATATTATCTTTAATATCATTGCAAAATTTCATATATCTTATAATAAAAATTTAGATAATTTAAAAATTTTATTAATTCAATATTTTACAAATATTTATAAAACTTTTTTATATTTTATATTTATTTTGATTAATTTATATTAAAATAAATATTATAAAAAATAATATGAAGAAGTAAAAATAATTAACTTTAAAAATAATAGATTTTTTAAAATTTTTTAATTTTTTAATTTTATTAATAAATTTATATTTATAATTTATTTATTAAATAGAAAATTTCTAATTTTATATAGAATATTTAAATATGTATTATGTTATTAATATTTTATTACTAGTATATATCTTTACACTTTTAGTTTTTACTATTTATTCTAAGAACTTAAATTTTTTTTGATGAAAAATTTATAATTATCACATATTATCCTTTATATAGATAATTTTTTAATTTCTTAATATTAAGGAAAATAATTTTAAATGTTAGTTGTATCACATAATCTATATTTAAATACTCATTATACAAATAAAAATTGCCAATTAAATAATTATAAAATATAGGTTTTATATATAATTTTTTATTTGTTAAATGATTATAAAATATACTGATTTTAGATAATTTTTATCTATTAAATAATTATAAAATATATAATTTTATTATTAATAATTATTAACTATTTATTAATATTTATTAATTTATATAGATTAAAAAATTAGAATCATAACAGGATCCTGAAAATCTCTTCTATAATTTAAATTATTATTTTTATTTATTTTAATGATATGATATTATCATAAATTTATAAATTTATTAGTTTAGAATGAAGTATAGGATTATATACAATAAAAAAATATCCTACTTAATAATTGAGTCAATGCTAATTGGCTTTTATAATTGCATAAAATCTTAGATAAAGCAAATATTAGTATAAATTTTTTTAATTAAGATCATTTTAGATAAAATAATAGTTCTCATTTTTCTAGTATTATAAAGATTACAAATAAAAATAAAAATAATAAAAATAAAACTATAATTATTTCTTGTAATTATATTACAAATTCATTTAGATTGACTAATTATCAGATATATAATTCAAATTAGAATTTTTTTAGAATTTATATGTAAATTTTAGTTAGAATTATGTATTACAGAGAGATTTTAAAATTTGTTATTCAACATATTGCAGTTTTTAAGCTAACTAGTGATATTTTAATATTAATATTAATTGAGTTATTATAAAAAACACATTTTACTATATGTCATTTATAAATTAAATAAGAGATGTTTAAATTATATTATAACTACATTAATAAATAATTTAAATTACTTATTAAATAATAATCTTATTAATTTAAAAATTAAATAATCATATTATTAGATTATCAATTTTTAGTTATATAAAAAATAATTTATATTTATGATTAATATTTGAAATGTAAGTTAAAATAAGATTTTCAAGTATTGTTATAATAAAAAATTTAAAAATTTTTATATAAAATATAATAGTATAATAATATTTAAGAATTTTATATTCTAATTTATATTTCATTTATTAAATAAATTATATTTTATATTAAAAATTTATTTCTAACTTTAATAGGTATTATACTTAAAATTTGTTTTATTAATTAATACATAAATTACAAAATTTTAAATTTATTAAATAATAATTATTAATATATATTGAATTATATTATATTTAGTTAATTTTATTATTGATATATTAAAAATCATATAATCATTAAAGAATATAAAAGAGAAATAAAAAAAAAGACAAAAACAAAAACATTTTATAATTACTATTATTTAGTATACAGTATTGGAATTGGATCTTGTCTAATTTCCAATAAAGGACTAAAAGACTTTAGACCTAATGGAGATGTTCAATCCAATTCCAATTCAAATGAACTATGATTATATAATTTTGACCAAATTATAATTTTATATATTATAATTCTATAATGCTAGTCTAACTTAAAATTTAAATGATAATAAAATCATTCTGCTTGATAATCAATAATAAATTTGTTCAACTAGAATGATTTTACTGACGTGACCTTAATTTTTCAGGTAACAGAAAGTTTGAAATTAATATTACAAATATTTCAAATTTATCTTATCCTGCTAGAGATCAAAATTCTAAATGGAAACATCCAGATATTTATATTGAGAGTTTAGGGAAACCTAATTATTTATCAAATTTTATATTAAGTAATAATAAGTAAATTTAATAAAATTTAATAAAAATGATTTACATAATATACATTTTATTAATTTTACAATTATGAACATATTGCTAAAATTATATGTAAATTTATAGTTGTTGGACGAAGTCTATAGTCTAATTGTCCAAATTTTAATGGAATTGGAATGGACCAAATCCATTAGTCCAAAAGGCCAACACTTTTCGTATAACAATATTCATATAACTTTTTAAAAAACTAATATAATATGTTGTATATGCTGTAACTTCGCAAAAATGTTTAATTTTTTTAATTTTTTTTTGATATATAAGTGTGTATATATTTTAGAGTTTTTTTTTTTTGTTTGAAAAAAAAAAAAAAAAATTATCAAAATTTAAAAAAAAAGAAAAGAAAAAAAAAACACGAAGTAATACTAAATATAATACTAAACAAACTATCACAAATATGAAAAAAGTTGTGGTAAATGAAAAAAAAAAGAAAGTTGAGAAAAATTCTATTTACAAATAATATAAAGAAATTCCGCGCTTTTAGTTGGTAAACCCAACGATATTTCAAATTAACCAATTCATTAAAAAATATACATGGAATATCAACATAGGCTAAAAAATTGTCAATGAGAGTTACGAATAGTTATGTATATGAATACTAATATATATATATATATATATATTAAAAAATTTCAGGATACCTGCTTGCGTATAGCGCGAAAAAAAATATATATATATATATATATATAGATACAATGAATGTCGAATAAACAAAACGAATGAAATTGAACAATGTGGAATTATAATTAAAGGAATTCCTTCTTATTAATAATAAATGAAGGAGCATACAAGAGATCCAGCCCATACTAGCCCCCCTTGAAAATAACAAATATTATTTACATTCAAGAAATCATTGATTATTGATCAAGGCACACAGATCTCCATTTGAATGAATGTTACTACTGTGTTACACTCTCAAGGCCTGTACAGTATTTCCAAATCCAATCGCTACCCATTCAGGGCACTTGCAACTCCAACTTAATTGACTAATTTCATTAGCAGCTTTATAAGCTAAGATTGGATCTTGATTGTATCTGTTGACACCACCATTATGCGACATGATATTTATATCCCAAACCAGCACTTGGGAATCATCTCCTATAAAGGAGAAAATAACCATCAAATTTAATTACGGAAGATAACTAATTACATCAAATAATAATAATAATGTATGTAATTACTAACCGCCACTGCAGAGATGTCCACTATGATGTGGTGCCCAATTGACACAATTAACAGTCGACGAATGACCCCTTAATTCTGCAACAGGAACACCAGGAACTCTCACGTCTAATATTTGAACGTCCGCAGAGTCCATGTGAAAGGTGGCCAAATATTGTGACTCGATTTTATTAAAACATAACCTGAGTAATGGAGAGGGTTGAGTTGGGTTGGAAACAGACATGTTAACTTGTGAAGGATTTGGTATAGGCGTTTCATATATAATAGTGGAATGTTCCAGCGATCTATTAAAAATGGTAAACGTTAAATTTCCTTTCTAAAAGATCTAATATAACCAAAAGTTGTAGAAAATGACATAAACCTCAAATCGAACATCCTAACACTTCCATCTGCACCAACACTGGCAAAGATATCGGTAGAGCCAGTCGCAAATGCTACATCATAAACTTCTTTATCATGAGCAATAAGTTGCGTCTTTGCTTGTTTAGTCTCAACATTCCAAACGGTACAGGTCGTATCAATGCTTGATGTAACCGCCAACGTTGGATCAAGTTCATTCCAATCAAAGGATGTGAGTGGAGCATTGAAATCAGCTTTTGTCTAATCGAAGATTAATTATTATTCATTTCTCATTATCATTAGGAAAATAATTCTGTCCGAGAATATATGTTCGTTAAATCTTACATTGGACAACATAATCTTGTGAATTAATTTTTTTTGTCTGAATCCTGTGTGATTATTAGCACCAATAGTGTTACTTGGATTAATTATTTCATCTGTAATTTCCCACAATCGCAAATGATCACCAGCTGTAGCTAATAAGTCGGGAGTATTTAATCCCCCCTGTATATTGAGAATGGTTAATTAATCAAATTTGATCAGCTTACGATTTTGAATTTAAAAACTTACCCTGAATGGCTCCCATAATACTTTAGTAATTGGGTAATGATGGTCAGTTTCGGCGATTTTTACAAAGTCAGTATTAGAAGGTCGAAGGTAAGGGTCATCATAAGCCAGCTCGGACAGCGTAATAATTTGCAGCTTTGATATTAAAATAAAATATCAAAATATTATTAATTCATTCATAACTATAAAATAATGAAGTCCGGTAGGTTTCCAGTAAACATCGTCACATTTTTTTTTTCTTGTGAATTTTGTGAATGTGCTAGAATGTATGCTCAAATTATTACAGGACATCAAACTTGATCCTGCGTTTAACTATCGGTTATCAACATGGATCATTGAAAAATGTCGGAGGCACAATCAATAGAAAAGGAAATGACTAATACACTACGTGGTTTGAATGATTGAGGAAAGTTTGCAACGGGATTAAGGTAATAATTTATGCATTTGCGAGTATTTTGTGCTAACCGAATGAACAAGAAAAGAAAAGTCATAATGCTCAGGTAAATGAACGGCGAACCTTATTAGAAGAATCTTCAATGAAACTTCCCAGGGCCAATCTAAAAGCTTTTTCACCGGGTCGCTTAGACCAATCTAAACCGTACACAGGCCATGGAGCCTTATACTCGTACATTTCTTTTTTTAGTAAACCATTTGCGATGTCTGGGCGAGCTCTAGTGCTACCGTTAAGTTCTGAAGGAAATGGCGTAAGTGGTGGTGAAGTAGGCGGGTGAAGGTGGGCTGGTGGTGGTGGTGGGTGATAGTGTGGCAAAGACTGTTGGCCTGGAGGTAGTTGTTGTTGATGATATGTGCCACGAGCCGGTGCTGGAAATGTTCCAGGAAGAACTTGAGCTGATTGTGTTTGCGGTTGGGGTGGACGAGATGGGGAAGAGGTAGTTGGCTGTGGAAGTGTTTCTGGGTAAAATGAGTTTGGTGGGTAAACAATTCTTTGAGCTGAAGATTGATGTGTCATTGTCAGTATATTTCCACTCTTGTTATACAAAAAAGGCAGTAATAATTTCTTCGCGGAGTTTGATATTAGGGTTGAATTTTAATACGATAATGATAATTTATCTGATAAAGTCCGAAATAAAGTTTTTATAAGAACGAAAGCAAAAAGCTAAATAAAGTTTGTTGCAAATGTGAACGAATCCAAAAAGACAGGTTTCTTTTGTTTTTCAAAAAAAAAAAAAAATAAAAAAATAAAAAAAAAATTTCGTAGTAAATAGGTTTTTTTATTTCGTAATTAGGCACTTTCTAGCGTTACACCTGGTGGTAATTATTATTAACACGTAAAGTCGCGTTTAACGATGTAAAAAGCTAATAGTACTTTGATGGAAGAAGTATATTATTATTAATTTTTTTTTTTTTTTGTGTTAAAAAAAAGGAGCAAGAGCAAGGGAAAAAAATTTTTTTTTTTTCAGTTGGATGTTTCAAACTGCATCATATGTCTGTCAATTTTTTACTTTTCGGAGATTCTGTATACTTTGTACACAACATTTGTCTGACATCACTACCTGTCAAAATGTCGTCTTTTCTTTTTGTGTCATTATCAAAACCAAATCTATATCTTTTTTTATTTTATTTATTTTTTTTTTTTTTAAGCATTTAAACAACATTGTGCATCAAATAGTGTTACATCATTGGGGGGGATAAGTACTATCTGATAAAATCTAGTTTTGTGATCAAAGAATTTTTAATTAATATAATTAATTGTGCCAGACCGAAAACTTGTATGTGATACAGCTTTTCATGTCACATCTAAAATATATACGTGCATTTCCTAATTTATAATAAAAAATATGACCAAAAATTTCCTCAAATCCACTTTGAATCACTGGCTTTGTTCTTCCCAAAGGCAGCTATTACTCGATTTGCGTTCCTCGCATAATCATGATGCTTGCAGAATTATTCCTTCAACTTGCATTCCTCTCGATGATATTAAAAAACATTTATTCGAACTTCCCCCAAAATCTTTACCATTTGCAGTATTAGAACCTCATGACCACAAGGGAGTTGCTCAGAAATTGCTGATAGACCAAGGCTGGAAAGTTCCTTGGATCTTTGTTGAGGGAGAAGAATTATGGAAAGTGAGTCGAGAGCTTGGAATTTTAGAAGAGCATGCCAATAACAATGGTAACAACACCGAAAATGAATCAAATCTTTCAAATCGACATGGATGGGTATTATTTCAACCTAGTCCATTCTTGATGAACAATATAGATTTCATCGAGAATTCACTCAAAACATTATCATCGAACCATGTTTTTAATTGTCTTGATGTCGCATGTGGAAGTGGAAGAGATGTTGCATGGTTAAGTTCGCGTCAAACTGTTGATTGGCGTACTACTGCAATTGACGCAATGTCTGGAGCTCTTGATCGCACAAGACGATTGGCATCAAGATCAGGCGTTTTGAATAAAATTCAAACCGTTCACGTTAAAATCATGACAAATGGATCGGTCAAAAAATATCAAGAATTTCCACCAGGTGATGATGTCTCTGGGAAGGTTGAGACTCGAACAAAATTAGATAACAGCATCAAGGAAAATCAAATTGAATTTTTAAAGAAAAAATATGATCTCGTACTTTCAATTCGTTTCTTAAATCGAGAATTCTTACCCACTATGGCAAATCTCGTAAAACCCGATGGATTTCTTTTAATTAGCACATTCGTTAATGATGGAGAACATACTTATAAGAATCCACAAAGTAATTCTCATAGGTTAGAGCTTGGTGAACTTGACATTAAATTTCAAAAAGAATTTGAGGTTATAAAAGATGAAATCGAATTAATCGAAGATGGAAGGCCAGTGAATTCATTCCTTGCAAGAAAAAAAAAGGGGGGAATATAACCTAAAAAAGAAATAATAAATATATATTGAGATAGGTACATTTAATTAAGTAAACATGGACGCATTGTTAAACTTCCTAACATGATACATTCCCGTGTTACTCGGTCAATCAGAAATTTTTTTTTCGAAAAAAAATTTTTTTAAAACCACCTGGCTGCACAGAAATTCCAAAGATCTATTATTGGTTTAGATCATTTTATTTGGTTACCCAAAACCCCAAAATAAAATATCCGGAATCAATTATCCACAAAAAGTAATTTGGTTAACACACCTTTTTTGTTCGGAGATTACCGTTGATAATGAGAACCGTAAATAAAATGTCAAATTTTGACATGTTATGTGCAGATACGAATGATAATGCATGTTTGTTGTACATCGATTTTTATTACAGATAAAGAAACTTTTCAATTAAAGAGAAGGGTAATTGACAATCAAACATTAAAGAACAAATCAAATGTTTGGTATCACATACATGTACATTACTTGTACATGTAAATCAATGGCAAGTGAGATGAACGCAGTATTACTTTGAATAATTGCTGTCTAAATTTTGTCACAATGCTCGTCACACGGAATTTTCTTAAACTGGTCTAGTTTAAAATTGTGTTCGCATTATTATTTTATTTCTAATTTTTTTTTTTTTTTTTTTCAATCAACAAATATGCAGAATAATTTTTATACAAAGAAAACTTTTATTTATTAAGTTCGAACTGTCAAAAAAAAAAAAATTTTTTTTTTTCCCGTTAATTTTACTAGTAAAAAAAAAAAAAGGAAACGGAGAAATTGATTTCTGAAAACCTCCAACTCGAGATATTCCGACACGCTATATAACCAATAAGAGGACATTCTTATTTCCGTTCCGTACTGTTGTTAGTTTTATTTTCAAATCACGTGACTTAATGCAGGGTCGTCAATTCAAACCCAAAGCCAATTCACTCGATTGTTGATTTTCATGTTCGCTATGATATTCCCATTGATTGAACACATCTAATTCTAATTGATATTGATACTCGGCTAATCGCTCTTCTTCATATTCCCTAATTATCATTCCGGTCGCAGCATATTGAAGAACATGAACTCGTTGATATTGTTTCACATCTAATAAATCCTGTTGTTGGTTTTGTTCAATCCCTGCAGTATCAATTGTATTAGAGTCATAATTCGCCTGGTCTTGTTGAAAGCCAACTCCTGCATGAAGTTCTCCTTGTGAAGCTGTATCTTGAGTTCTAACTTCCGCTACTTGTAAGTCGTATAATTTGGCATGTTGTTTATGAATGACTTGAGCCTCTTCAACTTCAACTCTAAATAAATTTTCAAGATTATCCGTTGTTTCATATTCATATGATCGATAAACCTCCCACCAATCTTCACTTTCTTCTTCGTAATGTTTATATGTGTCATTCTCTAATGTCTGAGAAGTTGCTTCTTGCTGTGCCACTGATATTCCAGGATTTTTTTGAAGTATTTTACCTGATTCCAATCGTTTTTGGAGAAAAATCATATGATTAATTGACTCATGGTTTGGATACTTTTTATGATGATCAAGTTTTTTTAAATTAAAAGTTTTTGGTGATAATTTTGATATCATTAATATGGATGTTGCAAATATTAAAAAAATAAAGGTTTTGAATGACATTTTGGGCGATGAAATTGTGGTCAAATTGAATCAACCGATATTTATAAGTTTTTTATCGCCAAGATTTTTGTTCTTTCGTGATTAATCGATGCTTTTTCTTATTTGCATTAATTTCACTGATTTTGATGAAATTGGCTATTTTATCAGATAAAAAAAAAAATTAAGTTATTTAAAATATACAATAAAATAATTTTAAAATAATTTATTACCAACATAATAGTAAAATAGTATAAAAATAATTTTAATATACTTTTCTAAATATAATTTAAATTTCTTTAATAGATTTATTAAATTAAAGTAATAAAAGATAATTTAAATATATGAATACTTATATTAAAAAGAAAAATATTTTTAACAGTCTGCGGAAATGTCACAGGACTTGCAGATCATTAATAATTTAGTTTGTGTAACGTTCTAACGCAAATGTAAAGTCTAAGCTAATTTAGCTATACA